TTACTGTATTTTTCTGTCAGTAGCTCAAATACTATAAAACCAGTAAGCAGTAGAGAATATAAAGTAATGCATAATGTAATGACTGTGGTGGCTACTGCCCGATGAATTGTTCCAGTTTCATTGATCCTGCAGACATCAACCCTGTTTAGTCGGTTATTTCTAGAGGCCATGCCTCCCGAATGCTGCTAGTCACCACTGGTCGTAACTCGCTGCACGTGTCACTGATACATTAAACTAAATAGTTACATTTCGTCTGCTTACCACAGATGAAACCAAAGACATTAACTCTGTTTACCACAGATGAAACCAAAGACATTAACTGTGATGAACATCCTCTGGTTTTGGACTGGATGAGTCCACCTCTCAAGGACAGAGCTCAGAGCTGTCCAAAGAGGACACCAATAACACCGGACTTTTCTGTCCCTTTCCTTCCTCATTGTGTCCTGCCTATGTTGTTTATATGGCTGTTTTAAAGCTGATCTCCATGGCGACGGTGTGACCCCTGCTGCTGCCCCTTGGTAGCGGTCCTGATTGATGGCCAACAGGCGACCATAAAGGCTATCTGCTGTTGGCAGATTAGACCAGACAAACATATCTCCTGTTTACAGACCTGCCACAGCCCCGTTTATTTACTAAACAACACTGGACTCATTTTTGTCATCAGATTTATAATAAACAACCAACCTACGATCCACCAGAGAGAAAATCTGTGCAGTTGGAGAATGTAGCTGAAACTGTCAGGAACAAATTCCATATTAAACTTTTACTGGGTCATGAAGCAAGTGTGGAGCTCACTCCCTGGAGTACCCACGAAAATATGTCACCTCCTCCCTTTTTACAAAATGTTACCAGGTACCGGTGTGTGAGCTGTAGAAATTCAGCGTTGTTCTGGAACAGAGAAGCTGGTTGAGACTAAAAATGGGAAGCTGGCAGGAGGTTTGTCACTACTTTTTTCTGTGTGGGCCTGTTCTTCTGGGAAAAGCCTTCATCCCTGCTCCACATGCATGTCACTGGCCTTTTGTGTGCGACGATGCGCACTCACTGAATGTTTGACGTTTCCATACCGCCCTTACAATTCACAGGTTGTCATGGAAATGCACTGGGTGGCAGTGGCAGCAAAGTTACAGTGAAGAGAGAAAGGAGGAGGGTCAGTTAGCCCCCTCCTTTGTGTACGATGCAGTGTGTTGATCAGGAGAGCCTTAACCAGGGGGGACATTTGTGAGTCCAGAATAAAAAAATAAAAGATTATTTAAAAAGAGCTCCTCAGAACCCAGGATGTTCCACCCTAGCAGCCAACCCTAATGAGACCCTGTCTCCTCTGTGTGAGACAGAACTGGTCCTGCTGGGCTAAACCAAACCTAGTGTTAATCTTCATATTCATTCATTCATGCATTCATTCATTCATTTGTTGTTAATTTATTTCATCTATATGCTCATCTCCGAGACTTCAGTGTAATTTACAGTCACATAACAATAAACACCTTTAGATTCATTATTAAATCGTGAATAACTGGAAAATGTTGATGAAAAGTATTTGATTTACTCAATGCCAGAAGGAGTTAAGGTGGCCCAAAGCTGTTGCTCTGGGACACCATAGGAATGACTGATTTGCTCACTTCCACTTTTATGGCTGTCTCGTGGATTGTGACAGTGGGTTTTCTAATGCTCACTCTGGTTCACCCCAACCCATCCCATATGGATGTCAGAGGTCCACTAACTTAGGCCTAGTCCACACGTAGCCGGGTTTTATTAAAAACGAATATCCGCCCCTACAAAAACTTGCATCCACACCACCCCGTTTCAAAACAAACTCTGTCCACACGTACCCGGATAAATACGTTGTTAAGAACATGCCAGACCTGTAGGTGGCAGTACTTCCCCCGTTCTTAACCTCGTCCTTCGTCTGTGGTCTTCCGCAAGGAGCAGCAATTCCTCTTGCAAAAACAAACAAGCAGAAAGCGCTTGGACAATTGATAAAGCGAGCGCAGCTCTGAGGGCATCCATGCTGTCGGCTAGTGTAAACACAGGTCGCACACGTGATGTCAGCATTTTTTGTCGCAGAAAGTGACGTTGCGGACCTTAAAACTCCGGTTTTGTCCGTCCACACGCAGACACCCAAAACGGAGAAAACGCAGATCTTCACTTTGGCCGGAGTTTTTAAAAAGATCTGTTTTCATGTGAAAAAACTCTGTTTTCGTGTGGATGACAGGCCAAAACGTGGAAAAATATCTACGTTTTGGCAGATCCCCGGCTACGTGTGGACAGGGCCTTAGACATGTTGTTACAGACTCTAACTAGCACTACCAAACAAAAATACAAACACAACACTTTTGTTTTTGCTCCCTTTTTTTCATGAGCTGATCTCAAACATCTGAAACTTTTTCTACATGCACAAAACACCCATGACTGTCAAACATTGTTCTGAAATCTGTCTATGTGTGTGTTAGCGAGCACTTTTTCTTTAACAAGATAATCCATCCCACCTCACAGGTGTGACAAATCAAGGCTGATTAGACTGCATGTATAATGAACAGGTGTGCCTTATACGGCCCACAATAAAACAATAATCATAAGCTAATGGTTGGTTAGTTAACAAGGAGCTAATGATGTGTCAACTAGCCGTTAACAAAGCATTTCCTAATGTCTCTTCTAAATCACGGCTTATTCAACAAAAGCACATTTTGGTTCTGTGTTAGAAAAAAACTTTGTTTTCACAGACCTAGCTGTTATGTTCTTGGTTATTTGTTACCTGTAGTTTATATTCATATCAAAAACATTTATTTTTGACAAAAATACTTAAATTTAGTCTGAATTACTTGGTTAGCCACAAAAAAAAAATAATTCTGCTAAGATTTTGTACCAGATGTTAAGAGATGGAAACACTTTACATTGACAAATATTCAGTTTTTTCCCACTAATTATACGTGTTTTTATAGTTTTGGGTTAATGATGCTATGATTCTAATGTTCTGCTGCTGGTTTGAATCTACCTGAAGCTTCTAAAGAACTGTCGTTGGTTTTTGGTCCGTGATCTGGGTTTGAGTAAAGCCGGACGGATCTGGAACGCTGTGAAGCTGACGCGGTTCCACCGCCTCCTGTCACACAAAACCAGATCCACCCGACTTTACTCAAACCCAGATCACGGACCAAAAACCAACAACAGTTTGTCCTTTAGAAGCTTCAGGTAGATTCTAACCAGCAGCAGAACATTAGATTCAAAGCCAACAAGAGACTGAAGAAGAGATTTAACATTTGTTCAGTGAGACAGGTCACTGAAACCTTCAACATGATTCATTAACACCAGTGGAAAACTATCTGTGTTTTATTTACTGTGTTCATAATAAAGGCAGCATGAGAGCAGATGGTTTCTTTTTGCACTGGAGCCCTGGAGCGCTGCTGTCTGCCGCAGGAACATCTAGCCTGAGATCCGATGTGAGTGGCCCTCATAGCTCTTTTCCATCGCCAGGTCTGGAACAGTCCGGTCTGGTTATTTTTGGACCGCTGTGTTCCGGTATGGGTCTGGATTTTTCAGATGAGCGTTTCGATCACAGTTTGGGCCATCACGTCGGCAGGCGGGGTTAAATGAACCGTCATGCGCAATTTTAAAAGTTGTGCAACTATTCAGTACTTCTGTGCTGCAATAAATGTTCTACAGAGCTAAAGACAAAAACAAAATGCTTACCACGCCTTCCAAATGTGACTCCAGAGTGCAGTCGCTAAGTCCAGAAGACTGCCTCGGCTTTACATTAGCGTCCAGCGCGTCATAGCAACTCCGTGTATTTCTACTATCCGAAAACAAATCCACTCCTTAACTATCAACTATACTGGCCTGGCACTGAACCGACGTCCGCTCTGATCCTTTGGCTGCCGTCCGCTGATAAAATAACTACCGATCCGTCTAGCTCCTCCTGTGGACATTCACGATGACGGCGAGAAATGTATGGAACTCTGAAGGTGACCAACACCTGCTGCTACTTTTTCACTTTTATGTTCAACTAACAAAAATACAAACAACGGAACTCAGTTTGTTTTCCTTTTTGCAAGTAGTGACATATTTCTGTCAACCAATCAGTGGACTGTGTTGTTGCTCCACCCTAACCGTGCCGCTCCAGGAATTTCTGGACCTACAACAGAAGGGAGCTCAAAAAGTCCAGCGACTAGTGCGGTCCGGGTCGGTTGTCTGGACCGGTTTTACAATCGGAACAAAAAAATTTGCAACCCGATCCTTCCCATTCCATGCCAGTTTGGGCGATGGAAAAGATGCCATAGATGATTCACACTAATGCAGACCCGGGGCCAGGCTGACCCCAGGAGAAGCTACACTTTAGGAACCTGATTACATTTTGCTGTGCCTTTCATAAGAACCCTCCACCTGTCCTGATACATCCACCTTCCTTCAGGAGAAAGTTGTTGCTTTGGATGACAGGAGGGGGATAACACAGACGTAACGGTATTTCACACCGTGTGCAGCTATCTATGAGGACTACTAATGGCAGATTTTGTCTCTAGCAGTCTTTTTCTGGATTTGTGCATTCTGAGTTTCAAGTTGGTATGGCTTTGTTCCAGAACATCAGTTTCCCTGTGAGAGCCTTGTCTGAAAGGGTGAAGTAATGGGTTCCATTAAAAGCAGGACATGGTAATGTGCTGGGCATGGTTTTAGGGAGAGTTAGTTTGCTGTTTTCACGCATGTAAAGTTCTGTTGTTCTGTGGAAGCTGAGAGAATATTCTAATGATGAGGAATCCTATGTAATACTCATATCAGTAGTACTGAAGTTTTCCAGCTATGGACGTGATGTGATAATTAACTTTAGAGTGTGCTGTTGAAAGCATAAATAAAGGCCAAGTGGTAAGCATGTCCACCACCCTTCTGCTGCTCTTCATGAAGGGCCTGTGCCAAATGCTTGACACTTGCTTGCGTAAGTAGACTTCTTTTAAAAAATGGCTCCATTTGCATGACAAAGGTGGATCACTTTAGGGCGGAAGGGAGGGAGGACGGGGAGTTAGGGCTGTTGGTCTGGAGGGGAGAGGAGGCAGGAGGGACTTCAGAGGATGAACCAGGATCGCCGGTTCTGTCCCTGTGAGGAGATGAGCGGTGCTGCTGGATAAGGTCGGCACCGACACCGAGCCTGGTGTGGATCTGAGTCTCCTACGTGAGGCGGCTGGTCCCATACAGCTGAACGAGAGAGTTTTTCTGTTAAGAAGACGTTTTACAGCTGAGTGAGGATGACTTTGATTAAAAGCGTTTCTGGAGTTTTAGAAAATCTGCTGTTGAAGAGAGGCACTCTGAAATGCTCCTGGCTGGTCTTAACACACACATTTTAATTCAGCATTTCCCAGGTTTTTAGCCTCCCTCCACCTACTCCATGTGGATCAGGTGACTTTTTTCAGGTGAGCTGGATGTTTTGTTGCAGGTGGAGGCAGCAACTGCTTAAACATGTCAGGAACGTTGTTTGCTGGACTCCTTCTCTTCATGTTGAAGGTAAAAACTCTTTGATTCTTACAGTCTAATGAGATTCATGTGCTGTTGTGAGACTTTAGAAATGATAGGACTTTAGAATAAGCATCATAATGATGGATGTTGTTAAGCCATGAGCAATTTTTTTCTTTGTAGGTATGTAATGGTGAGCCAACATACGCTGGGCTACAAAGACTGGAGGACTCACGAGGTCAGTCAGTCATGAAATTTGTTCCTCCACCTTCCCGCAAAAGCCTTCCAGAATGTTACGTAGAACCAGCCGTTGTGGTGGTGGCACCCATCAGACGGCATCTGTTCATAAATCACTTTTAGAGACATCCTGGTTCACTTTGGCCTATGGTACAACATGATTGGTTCACATTTTCATCTGTTACATCTTGTTCTAGTTATTTCTTTATTTAAAATATTTTATGTGATTTTGTTGTGTTTCTATCTGCCTTTTCCCCTTAGTTGAACACTGTAGCACTTTGATTGATGCTGTTGTTTGTGAATGCCTTATAAATAAAGTTGAGTTGAGTAATACTAGTTTCTCTGGTTACATCTTCCCAGGACAAAACAACCATGTCTATCTAACACCACGATGGGCTCTCCAGCTGGTCAATGACTCACTGCCTTACTCCAGAGCTGACCGCTTCTGCAGAGGTCAGTTCAGCTCCCTCGTCTCCCTGGACCAGTCCGAGGACCAAAGAGGAGTGCAGGAGCTCCTTCAGCTGACTGTGGTCCGCACACCAGTCTGGGTCAGGGATCCCAGTAAAGCAGACTCCAGGCCTGTGGCCTTCTCCAGACAATGTGAGTGGAAGGGGTGCTTCAGTACTCAACCCAACAAAATCAAATGTTCAAACAAAACTATCTTTTCTCCTTCTGTTTAGATTTGCAGTTCTCAGCTTTTAGTTTTCCAAAGGAGTCTCATGAAGGATTTGCCCACATCAATATTTCCTTTCCTGCTCTGGAGGCGGTCAGTGTGTGTGTTCGGGTCCAATGGGAACCAAAATGGAATGACGTGTCCACCATTTTCTCCTACGCTGCTCCTGTTTTTACCAACGAGTTTCAGCTTCGAGGCCAAGTGAACATGCATGGTCGTGTCCTCCTGGCTCTTATAATTCAAGGAAAGCATTTGCCTTACAAGGCATCTTTCTGGAATGACGGAGCATGGCATCACATCTGTGTCACATGGAGCCGGAGCAGCAACCTCTGGACAATCTATGTGGATGGGGTCCAGAAAGACATGGGCTCAGGTTCTGAAACTCGCAGAGACATATATGGGGATGGGATTCTGATTCTGGGCCAGGACCAAGACTCGTTTGGCGGGAACTTCACGGAACCCTTTTTTGGAAACATCACTGACCTGAATGTTTGGAGCTCATGTTTGGAAACCAGACATGTCCATGCGCTAAATTCCTGCTCTGCCATAACTCCCAAAAAACTTTTCTCCTGGAACCTTGACCTGATCAGCAGCCACCCCATAGTCAAAGTTGTACAGGCCCTTCTGTTTTGCCCAGGTAAGTCTGTCTGTCTCTCCTTTACAAGTCTCACTGACTCGTTTTTTAAATGAATGTTTTGGTCTCAAGTATGCATGAACGTCTTGTGCATCATATGGAAAAATCCTCCAGCGCTCCTGTTTCAGGAAGTAGAAGTTTGTTGAATTACTACTCTTACTTATTAATTAATTATTAACTTTGATGTTTTATCTCCACAAATACCACAAGCCTGGCCATGTTCCACCAGGATGTGGAGTTGATATTGCTAATGGTTAGCTTCTACTAGCCGAGATGCACGCTGCACTCTCCTTCCTATGAGTTTTCCCAAGCCAAAGTGGGTGAGGTGATGAGTTTCCCTGTGACGTAGCTCTTTCTGAGCTGACCTATTTCCATTCAGCGGCGAAGGCGGGTGATGGGGTGGAAGAAAACGGTCATGTTTTCAGATGCAAAACTCAGAGAGGTCGATCGTGTTTCAAAAAGAAAAGTATTCTATGTACAAATCTGTTTTCATAATAATGTGTAAACCTCCAAGCTAAATTCCCTAAAATAGATCATAATTCTTATAATCCTGAAGAAAGTATTCTTAAAACATAGTTAAATGGTAGCAGATTACATCACTTTTTTAAAATTATCTCATTATGTCTATTTTGGTAGTTTGCTTTTTCCCAGCTGATTTACATATGTGTGCTTACAGTGTTCACAAATACTTAACAGTTTATTAGCGATTTTACATTAAAGCTTCTCCTTTTACAAGATTTAATTTTGTTGTCAGAAAATAACATGCATCTGATTGAAAGGCAGCTCACTGAGACCACATATTCAATTCAATTCAATTCAATTCAAGTTTATTTATATAGCGCCAAATAGCGACAAGAGTCGTCTCAAGGCACTTTACATAATAAACTTTCCAATTCACAGTTCATTAAGCCAATCAGAAATAATGTTTCCTATATAAGGAACCCAGCAAATTGCATCAAGTCACTGACGAGTGTCAGTGACTATACAGCAATCCTCATACTAAGCAAGCATGCAGCGACAGTGGAGAGGAAAATTCCCTTTTAACAGGAAGAAACCTCCAGAGAATCCTGGCTCAGTATAAGCAGCCATCCTCCACGACTCACTGGGGATCGAGAAGACCGAGCAGACACACACACACACACACACACACACACACACACACACACACACACACACACACACACACACACACACACACACACACACACACACACACACAATAATGTGTCTATAGTTCTATTGTGATGTCTTAGTAAATATTCAGTTTGGTGAGATCAACTTCATTGTATTTATCCTAGTGGATCTATAATTAAATGGGTAAACTAGCAGTAGCACAAGGAAAGCAAAAAGTTATTATCAGGAGAGAGAGAATGTTTTAGTGGTTAGCAGCAGTGTGTTAGCCGATGGCCCCTCCATGAGGCCAACACAGCTCAGCAGAACATCGTTGTAGCTTCTTCTGTGGAGAAAAACACTTAGAGAAAAAATAAAGTTAACAGCTGAAATTGCAGAAAGTAATACAGTTAAAGAGCAGATAGAAGAAAGCAGTTGAGTGTGGAAAGTGGTCAGTGTATCCTCCAGCAGTCTAAGCCTATAGCAGCATAACTACAGAGATAACTCGGGATAATCTATTCTACTTAGATGGAGGCATGTTGGAGGCAGGGCAAGGGAGAGTCGTCTTTACCGACTGTACACTCCACCTCCCTCTACTCCCCCACTTGTCCAGATTTAGGCTAACATCAGATTTTAACCATAGGCCCTATTAAATAAAAATGTTTTAAGCCTAGTCTTAAAAGTAGACAAAGTGTCTGCCTCACGGACTAAGGCTGGGAGCTGGTTCCACAGGAGAAAAGCCTGATAACTAAAAGATCTGCCCCCAATCCTAATTTTAGATATTCTGGGAACCACCAGTAAACCTGCAGTCTGAGAGCTAAGTGCTCGGTTAGGAACGTATGGAACAATCAGATCACTGATGTATGATGGAGCTTGATTATTAAGAGCTTTATATGTGAGAAGGAGGATCTTAAAATCTATTCTGAATTTAACAGGTAGCCAATGTAGGGAAGCTAAGACAGGAGAGATATGATCGCTCTTTTTAATTCTCATCAGAACTCTAGCTGCAGCATTTTGGACAAGCTAAAGACTTTTAACTACATTCTGTGGACTTCCTGAGAGTAATGAATTACAGTAATCCAGTCTTGATGTAATACATGCATGAACTAGTTTTTCAGCATCACTCCTGGAAAGGATGCTTCTAATCTTAGCAATATTCCGAAGGTGGAAAAAGGAAATCCTACAAACTTGTGAAACCTGGGATTTGAGTGACATGTCCTGGTCAGAGATTACACCAAGGTTCCTTACTTTGTTCTCGGAGATTAATGTAATGCCATTCAAGTCAGGTGATTGGCTAAGCAATTTCCTTTTCTGGATTTCTGATCCAAAGATGAGAACTTCCGTCTTGTCTTGATTTAAAAGCAAAAAGTTTAGAGTCATCCAATGACTGTACATCCATGATGCGAATGTCCTGTACCACCACATCCCAAAGGTGCTCTATTGGACTGAGATCCGGTGACTGTGGAGGCCATTTGAGTACAGTGAACTCATTGTCATGTTCACTCTGAGATAAATCGAGATTTATGACATGGTGAATTATCCTGCTGGAAGTAGCCATCAGAAGATGGGTACACTGTGGTCATATAGGGACGGACATGGTTAGGGTTAGGGGTAGGGTCAGCAACCATACTCAGGTTTGGCTGTGGCATTGCAACAATGATCAATTAAGACTGCAGTGATGGGAATAATATCGTTTAAAATAATAATAATAATGTTAATGAAAAAAGTTTTTTCAGTAACTAGTAATCCAATTAATTACCGTCTTCTTTTATCATAACGCTGTTTCCGTTACTGATACGAAAATGCATGCATTACTAATTCAGTGCGTTGAAGCTGTCACCAGCTGATTGGGAGCTAAAGAGGCGGATGTTTTCATCCAAGCGCACCACGGCCCATGAAGAACGAGGAAGACGTGATGAATAGTCTGCGGCTGCACACCCACAGAGTCGCTGCAGCAGGCGTGAATCTGCAGCCGTGCCCTTCTTAGCGTGACAGCGGGACGTCCCAAAGGTCCGCTCACCTGTTCACCACTCAGACGTCCTGATCTTCTACCTTCCTAGATCACCCAGCTGTAACCTGTTTCTGATCATGTCTTTAGTCCCGCTGTAACGCTGATGCATCAGTCTCAGACGTCATGGGTGCTCAGGTGTTACTAAAACTACCTGTGTGTGTTTACCACCCAGCTGCAGCTCTTCTGTGTTTGGGTCGGCCCAAGTTAGTAAAGTTAATGTTTACATTTCTGAAAAACCTTGGCTTAATAAATGTTTTAAAATATTCTTATCAAGTGATTTTTCTTTGTATTTACTTGTTTCACATTTGATACTTGGTCTGTTCATTTGTCATGTGAAATAAAGTTAGTAAATGTTTGTATTTGTATTTTAATACTTACTAGTGCACAAAATAGTTGGTTCAAGTCAGAAATTAAAACTGCATTTGCTTCAGAAATGTTCAGCTTTGTTATTCGTGACATTTTAGATTGTTTTAGAGAGTTTTACCAAGGTGGAAAACAGCTTAATAAACCATCTATGCATATCAACTACAGAAAACCCCACATGGGCTTGATCTCTGCTCTGAATCACTTTTACTGTGTGGCTGTTCCACCGGAAGTCTTACGTCTTACTGAGTCCTTCTGTCCTAATTAGTCTCACTAACAGTGTGAGTATCAGAATTTACAAATATTTGTATGTTTGCCTTAAGCCCGCCATACTCTGGCCTGGCAAGGCATATTTATATACCTGTACTAGTTACATTTATGTAGTTATTCATTCATTAGCTAAATGGTCAAAGTGCAAACAAACAAAGCTTGTCACCAGTTCCAAAATTAGTTCTGTAGAAATGTTACATGGCAGCAGACACTGTGGATCGTTCATTTACAGAACATGTGTGTGTGTGTGTGTGTGTGTGTGTGTGTGTGTGTGTGTGTGTGTGTGTGTGTGTGTGTGTGTGTGTGTGTGTGTGTGTGCAGCAGCACACCAGCAGATGGAGCTACAGGGCTGCCCTACTGTGCAGAGCCAGTCCAATCTGCCTCCCCTGCTGGGCCTGGCTGACTGCTCTGACCTGCAGCCGTTCATCTGCAAAAGCAGAAAAGGTGAGTCGTGCACATATCAGCGCACGTTCAAACTGCTGTAGTAACATGCAGTGAAAGTGCTGCAGTCATCTGATGTATCCAACTTCAATCATTTAGCTGAATTTTTCTATTTAAAGTGGTGATTTTAGTTTGATTTATAGTGAAAATTATGATTAGTCCACAGGTTCCATAACCAAATTATTAGGATTTCATTAATTCAAGAGTATTTATATTGTGATGTTTTGAATAAACCACTTATAGTTCCAAAATTGTTTAATTAGATGTGATTTTTCAATAGCTTAATTCAATTAAATTAAAATCCACATGTTCGTTAATTCACTAAATATGATGCATACAATTAAAATAAATGTTTTCTTTATAACTTTTCTTCAGCTATTGGAGGATCTTTGCTGACATCTTTCTCCTTCCCTGTGCGCATGCACAAGTGGCTGGGTGGCAAAAAAAAAACACAAAACGGCCCGCTGTGAATACGCAATGTAAAATTTTGAGTTTTTGGGGTAAATCCCTCATATATAAACACTTTACTGTCTAAAGAAAGGAGGAGATTCAGAGAGAAGCTTAAAATCTGTATTCAAGACAAAATGAAAGTTATTAAAAGCCTGTATGAGCTCTGGGATTACAGAAAACGTCGGCCCCATTTGCCGTCCATTAAAAAACATACCAATAATGGAATTATTTCTTTTCTGTTGTCTGATTGATATGTTTCCTCATGTTTCTAGAGCATCAGAACGATGGGTCATTACTAAAACAACAGATTTTATTTTATTTATTCTTTTGGTGCAGAACGATTTCAGAAGATGAAGGAACTGAGTGAATCTCAGAGCTCCCAGCCTTCTGCCTTCATGAACCAGCTAATAAAGCTCTCCAACATGAGTCAGGTAGAGCACATCCTCAGCTGAATTCAGCAACCATTTGCCTTTAGCCTTAATCAGTCTCTGAAAGATTTTCTTCTTTATCTCTCCTAGCCAGTGCTTGGCCAGCAGCCATCAGGCATAAACAACCTGACCCAGGCCATGGTCCTGCTCAACATCTCAGTCCAGGCCTTGGAGGAGACACAGGAGGAACTGCAGCCAGAAGACATGGTGTCTCTCGTCCAGCTGCTGTCGCTGACCTCTGATGTCCCCTCGGAGCCATCTGTCCATTCTGAAAACAGCAGCAATGAGAAGATCCAGGAGTTGAGTCAGCACTTTATCAGTGTAGCTGACAGCATCATCAGTGAGGACAATGCCCTCAAGTGGCAGGCTATCAAAGAGGTGACCACCACAGTACACCCAGCATGCATGCATAAAGAGATTCTAAAGTTCGTTTATCTCACCCGATCCCATCAAAGAGCTTGAGCCATCTCCACCAACTCTGCCACTGAATATAATATAAATAAAACTAAAAAAGCGAGTTCACACCCAAGAGAAATTATTTAGAGACCTCTGTGACTCTTTTGTTTAAGTGTCAGTGATAAGTTTGACAAGACATTTTTAATTAGTCAGTTTTAGTCTTTTGTCTTTAAGTTAGAACATGGAACATTTAATAACAAGCTATACAAATTTTTAAAATAATACTTTCGCGGGGTGAATAGAGGTGTGCCGAATGAATGTATAGTTTCTCCTTTTAAAGCTACATATAAAAAGATTTTAAAAAATCATCCATCCATCCATTTTCGTCCGCTTATCCGGAGTTGGGTCGCGGGGCAGTAGCCTAAGTCAAGAGGCCCAGACTTCCCTCTCCCCAGCCACCTGGGCCAGCAACTCCGGAGAAATCCCAAGGCGTTCCCTGGCCAGGTGAGAGACATAGTCCCTCCACCGTGTCCTGGGTCTACCTTTAGGCCTCCTCCCGGTTGGACATGCCCAGAAAACCTCACCAGGGAGGCGTCCAGGAGGCATCCTGACCAGATGCCCGAGCCATCTCAGCTGGCTCCTCTTGATGTGGAGGAGCAGCGGGTCTACTTCGAGCCCCTCCCGGATGACCGAGCTTCTCACCCTATCTCTAAGGCAGAGCCCAGCCACTCTTCGGAGAAAACTCGTTTCGGCCGCTTGTATCCGTGATCTCGTTCTTTCGGTCACTACTCAAAGCTCATGACCATAGGTGAGGGTAGGAACGTAGATCGACCGGAAAAAATCAAGAGCTTCGCCTTCTGACTTAGCTCTCTTCACCACGACAGACCGGTACAACGCCCGCATCACTGCAGATGCAGCACCAATCCGCCTATCGATCTCATGCTCCAGTTTTCCCTCACCCGAGAACAAGACCCCGAGATACTTAAACTCCTCCATTTGGGCAGGACCTCATCCCTGATCCGGAGAAGGCATTCTGCCCTTTCCAAATCAAGACCATGGTCTCAGATTTAGAGGAGCTGATTCTCATCCCAGCTGCTTCACACTCGGCTACGAACCACTCCAGCGAAAGCTGAAGATCACGTTCTGATGAAGCCAACAGGACCACATCATCTGCAAAAAGCAGAGACCTGATCCTCAGGCCACCAAAACGGATGCCCTCCACACCTTGGCTGTGCCTACAAATTCTGTCCATAAAGTTTATGAACAGAATCGGTGACAAAGGGCAGCCTTGGTGGAGTCCAACTCTCACTGGGAATGAGCCCGACTTACTGCCGGCAATGCGGACCAAGCTCTGACACCGGTCATACAGGGACCTAACAGCCCGTATCAGAGAGCCTGGTACCCCATACTCTTGGAGTACCCCCACAAGGCCCCCCAAGGGACGTGGTCAAACGCCTTCTCCAAATCCACAAAACACATGTAGACTGGTTGGGCAAATTCCCACTCACCCTCCAGGACCCCCCTAAGGGTATAGAGCTGGTCCAGTGTTCCACGGCCAGGACCAAAACCACATAGCTCCTCCTGAATCTGAGGTTCAACAATCCGACGGACCCTCCTCTCCAGAACCCCTGAATAGACCTTACCAGGAACGTTCAGGAGTGTGATCACCCTGTAGTTGGAACACACCCTGCGGCCCCCCCTTTTTAAACGAGGGAACCACCACCCCGGTCTACCAGTCCAGTGGGACTGCCCCTGATGTCCACGCAATATTGCAGAGCCGCGTCAGCCAACACAGCCCCACAACATCCAGAGCCTTAAGGAACTCCGGGCGGATCTCATCCACCACCGGAGCCTTGCCACAGAGGAGCTTTTTAGCCACCTCAGTGACCTCAGCACCAGAGATTTGAGAGGCCAACCCAAAGTCCCCAGACTCTGCTTCCTCACTGGAAGACGTGTCGGTGAGATTGAGGAAGTCTTCGAAGTATTCTGCCCACCGATCCACAATGTCCTGAGTAGAGGTCAGCAGCACACCGTCCCCACTATAGATAGTGTTGGTAGCACACTGCCCCCCCCACCCCCCCCCCCCCCACCACCCCCCACCCCGAGGTGCCAGGTGGTGGACCAGAATCTCCTCCAAGCCGTACGGAAGTCTTGCTTCATGTTCTCACCAAACTCCTCCCATGCCCGGGTTTTTGCCTCGGCGACCACCCGAGCCACATTCCGCTTGGACTGCCGGTACCTGTCAGCTGCCTCTGGAGTCCCACAGGTCAAAAAGACCTGATGTGACTCTTTCTTCAGCTTGACAAGATCCCTAACTGCTGGTGTCCACCAGCGGGTTCAGGGGTTGCCACCACGACAGGCACCGACGATCCTGCGACCACAGCTCCAGTCAGCCGCCTCAGCAATGGAGGCACGGAACAGGGTCCATTCAGACTCTATGTCCCCCGCCTCCCCCGGAACATTTTGGAAGTTCTGTCGGAGGTGGGAATTGAAGCTCCTTCTGACAGGAGACTCTGCCAGACGTTCCCAGCGGACCCTTGCGATACATTTGGGCCTGCCTGGTCTGACCGGCATCCTCCCCCACCATCTGAGCCAACTCCCCAGGTAATGGTCAGTTGACAGCTCCGCCCTTCTCTTCACCCGAGTGTCCAAGACATGCGGCCGCAGGTCAGATGAAACAACAACAAAGTCGATCATCGAGCTGCGGCATAAGGTATCCTGGTGCCAAGAGCACATATGGACACCTTTATGTCTGAACATGGTGTTCATTATGGACAATCCATGACTGGCACAGAAGTCCAATAACAAAACACCACTCAAATTCAGATCAGGGCAGCCATTCCACCCAACCACACCTCTCCAGGTCTCACTGTCGTTGCCCACATGAGTGTTAAAGTCCCCCAGCAGAACGAGGGAGTCACCGGAAGGAGCGCTCTCCAGCACCCCCTCCAAGGTCTCCAAAAAAGCTGGGAAGTCTGAACTGTACTTTGGTGCAGAAGCACAGACAACAGTTAGAACATGTCCCCCCACACGTAGGCGGAGGGAGGCTACCCTCTCATTCACCGGGGTAAACCCCAATGTACAGGCACCAAGATGGGTGCGAGTTAAGACATGATGCGCATGCGTCAGGATTAAGGACGGGGACAACGCAGAGCTCTGACAATGTGTTAAAATTGTGGTGTTTTATCTGGAAAAAGCGACTTAAAGGTTGGTGGATCTGAAAGATAAGGCTGTTGGCAGTGTCATGCCCTCGAAAAAACTAAACTGCAGCGCCAACAAAAAGATAATTACGAAGTGGAAGTGTCTCAACAGGTGGAACAAAGTGACATGGCAGGTGCGCAAGAAAGCAAGGAGCTGTCAGAAATGATACGATCGATAATAAGAGAGGAGATGAGTGTGGTGGTTGAAAAACTTAATACCATCACAAATGATATTTCAACTTGTGTAAGAAGACTGGGCGAAGTAGATGGAACCTTGTCTGACATGGATACCCGCATAATAAAGTTGGAAGCGGAGTGCGGAACACTGGAGAGGAAAAATGCAGAGCTGATGGGGAAAGTTGAGCAGCTTGAAATGGATAGCAATAAAAACAGTCTCCATGTTTTTGGATTACCAGATGAGGTGGAAAAAGGCAAGCCAACAGCTTTTATGAATTAACTATTTAAAGATTTATTTCAAGGAAAGCTGGAGTCTGAGCCTGAAGTGGAATGGGTGCACCGGACTGGACAAGAGAAGAAAGCGGGTGGAAGAAGGATGGTTGTGCACCTGCAAAAGTTGTTAACGAAGGAGAAGATTATAGAAGTGATCAGTGGCGGCTGGTGAAAAATATTTTTGGTGGGGCTGTGCTATTTTTTATTTTTAAACAAACTTGTGCTTTCTGAGCTTTGTGCACAACTCCACTATTTCCTGAATTAAGCACAGCTCTTTTATTTCCTGTCTTACATCATTGGACAAACTGATTAATCCAGGTGTGTCTGACTATTGGCACGCTGCCTTGCGGACCAAGGTTGAAAAATACTGCATTAAATTGCACATAAAATAACACGACCATAAATGGTAAATAGGCAATGCAAGAGGCAAGTAACAAAAACATTTTGTTTAATTTCAACATTTGAGTGAACACGAAAAATTATGAGCAGGTCACTGTTACAGTAATGGTAGTAAACACTACTTAGACAAAATGCCAGAAATTTACACTGTTAAATATTTCTGGAGTGTTGTGCCAAGGTCAACTTTATACAAAGATCAAGTGGATGCATTTGTGTGTGTGTGTGTGTGTGTGTGTGTGTGTGTGTGTGTGTGTGTGTGTGTGTGTGTGTGATACGTCATTTGTACAGAAATTTTGCCCTTCTGTCCTTCTGAGTGGCAAAGCTCTCGATTAGCTTTTTATTAAAGTCAGGAATGTTTGTGACAAGCTTTTTTTCCATGGAGAGCATGGCAAGAGCATTCAGCCCATCCTGTGTCATGGTGTTCCTCAGGAAAGTCTTAATCCTCTTTAAAGTAGAAAAGCACCTCTCTGATTCGGCTGTGGTCATGGGTGTGGTGACAAGAATCTTCAAAAGAGTGACAGTCTCTGTGAACGTGCTTTGAAGATTGTTCTCCATGAAAAACTGGAAGAGAGTCAGTGCACCAGTGTAAGCCCTGAACTCATGGTTCTCATAGATGAGGGATAGCTTTGTTCAGCATGGGGTAGGCCTCTACAGCGGTCGCCAGTGCTGCATCTGGGAACTGTGCTGTGTGTTGCACAAACAAGTCACTTTGTAGCAGAGTGGCAGTAACAAGGTGCTTGGTAAAAGAGAATCGCTCTTTTGTATGGCTCAGGATGGTGTCACAAACCTGTCATATGATAAATAAAAAACAACAGATAAGTACATAGGAAACACTCTCATAGGAAATAATGTCATCAGTATCCTCTTACAAATGTCATATTTCCCAGTTTTTGGGACAATAAAACATTTCTGATTCTCAATCAGATGTTTTTA